TTGCACCTCCTGCCTGGAGTTTCATAAATATTTTGCAACTTGCATAGACATTTGTGTATGAAGAAGCTCATTACATCCCACTCCACGGACAGCACAGTGGCTAAATGATTAGCACTTCCACCTGGCAGCACGAGAGTCCATTGTTTTGAATCCCAACCATGGCACCACCAGCCTGGAGATTTGAAAAAGGTTTACCGCACTATTATTTTGTGACTTGTATAGACATTTTTGCATGAAGCCACAGATGAACTCTCAGTTCAGAGGCAGCACAGTGGATAAATGGTTAAAATTTCCACCTCGGAATAATTGGGTTATTGGTTTGAATCCCAACCATAGCATCTCCTTTCAGAAGTTTGATAAACAGTTCCTGCACTATTTTTTTTTTTTGCAACTTGCATAGACATTTCTGTATGAAGCTGCACATAAGATCACAGTTCATAGACAGCACAGTGGTTAAATCATTAACACTTCCATGTGACACTACTAGGGTTGTTGGTTTGAATCCCAATCATAACACCAGCTGCCTGGAGTTTGAAAAAGGGTTAGTGCACTATTATTTTGAGACTTGCAGACATTTGTGCATGAAGCCGCACATAAAAGCCTAGTCTTCAGACAGCACAGTGGCTAAATGGTTAGCACTTCCACCTTGCAACACTAGGGTTTTTGGCTTGAATCCCAACCATGGCACTACTTGCCTGATGTTTGTAAAATAGTTTCTGCACTCTATTATGTTGTGACTTCATGTGCAACTTGCATAGACATTTGTGTATGAAGCCACACATGAAATCATAGTAAACAGGCAGCACAGTGGTTAAATGGTTAGCACTTCCACTTGGTAGTATTAGGGTTGCTGGTTTGAATCCTAACTGTGGCACCACCCACCTGATGCATGCATGTTCTCTCTGTGCCTGTGTGGGTTTCCTCAAAAAACCATGCTGGTAGGTTAATTGGCCCTAGTATCTGTATGAATGTAAATTAGGGACCTTAGATTGTACACCTCTTGACTTGGTCAGGATGCTTTGCAGCACAGCAAGAATTATACCCCTCATCTCTTTGGTGGGCAGTATGACTCATTCAAGTGAATGGGACTGCGCCAGTGGTAGGGGTTTTTAGGGATTAAAGCAGGTGGCGAGGAGGCAATATAAGTCTCCTGACCACATATTTATACGCCTGCTGAAAAACGGTCCAAAGCTGATTGCTCTCCAGCAGCAATGCCAATATAAACAAGCCCTATCTATGTCACCATTGTGCCAGGCCATACAGAAAAATACCCACATGGCTGAATTGTTTCCCTATTGGCTGGGCCATGACCCTACCATTAAAAAGTGCATTTTTCTTTTTTTATTGAAAACATGTTTTCCATCACCAACTTTTATCGGGTTCTGCAAGAAAAAGGCCATGGGGGCTGATTTACTGCAATTGGAGAGCGCAAAATCTGCTGCAGCTGTGCATGGTAGCCAATCAGCTTCCAGTTCTTTTATTTTTTTTTTCAAAGCTTAAAGTGTTACTAAACCCCGGACCCTTCATTCACTATATCCGGTCTCCCAGGACCCTGCATTCACTATATCCGGTCTCCCAGGACCCTGCATTCACTATATCCGCTCTCCCCGGACCCTTCATTCACTATATCCGGTCTCCCAGGACCCCGCATTCACTATATCCGCTCTCCCCGGACCCCGCATTCACTATATCCAGTCTCCCCGGACCCCGCATTCACTATATCCGGTCTCCCAGGACCCTGCATTTACTATATCCGCTCTCCCAGGACCCTACATTCACTATATCCAGTCTCCCAGGACCCTGCATTCACTATATCCGGTCTCCCAGGACCCTGCATTCACTATATCCGGTCTCCCAGGACCCTGCATTCACTATATCCGCTCTCCCCGGACCCTGCATTCACTATATCCAGTCTCCCCGGACCCCGCATTTACTATATCCGGTCTCCCAGGACCCTGCATTTACTATATCCGCTCTCCCAGGACCCTACATTCACTATATCCAGTCTCCCAGGACCCTGCATTCACTATATCCGGTAACCCCGGACCCTGCATTCACTATATTTGCTCTCCCCATACCCCGCATTCACTGTATCCGCTCTCCCTGGACCCTGCATTCACTATATCCGCTCTCCATGGACCCTGCATTCATACACACAACATGGGAAGGCATTTATTTTACTAAATATAAACTGCTAAATACTTTTTCTCATCAGCAGTTAGAGCAGTCTTGTGACTTCTATCAGTGTCCAGCCGAGCACTAGTTAATCTTGTAGGAGTTTTCATTCTCCTCTGACTGTCCTATGAGCCTGCATGACCCCTGACCCCCTGTCTGGACAGTGCTGATTGGTCCTGTGTAGATCACATGCATTATCCCAAGGAAAAAAAAAAACTCTCTAGCAATACAAACCAAACTGAGCATGTGCAGAGTGCCTCCTAGCGCTCTGTACTATCAGCAGATGGATTGGGGACAGCAAAAGAAGTGGAGGATCAGAGCAGACAGGATCAAACAGCCTTTTTCCACAATGCAGAAGATTAACCCCTTAGGTTCCAGTGAGTATAACAAGCATGCTTTACTGCATATACAGACTGATTTAACTGTTGTGGGTTTAGTAACACTTTAGCTGAACAAACTGAAGTTAGAAGCTGATTGGCTCCCATGCACAGATGCATCAGACTTTACACTCTTCAGTTTTAGTAAATCAACCCACATGTCTCTAGACATGTAGTTTCCTGCAATAGAAATGGTATTATACTCAGGTCTCCAGGGTTTCCTACCTCCCGCCGTTCCATTTTAATGCTGCAGCCTCTCTTCAACATTCAACTCTTATGGGAGGGTAAGGTGCCCGTTCCCCCTTCGGTGCATCCTGGCCCCATCCTCTGACCCCTTTATTACTGCTGAATCACTTAAGGACATAGGGGTCAGAGCAAGGACCCTGCAGATGAACGCCGGAGCCTCATGCACTGGGTCTAAATGCCTAGAAAGACAGCCGAAATACACATGTGCAAGCTCCTCTTCTGTCGTTGGCAGGGTTGTGTTAATGCAGCGGCACCATGCATGGGGCATGGAGCCCTGTTATAATCTTGCATTACATCATACTTGCCAACTGTCCCGGATTTGCTGGGACAGTCACACTTTTTACTAAGCCGTCCCTGGATGGCCCTCAAAGTGTCCCTGGACCTGTACTGTGCCCTCCTGATCCCAGTATTGTGCCCACCTGACTCCCCCTGTACTGTGCCCTCCTGATCCCAGTATTGTGCCCTCCTGATCCCAGTATTGTACTCTTCTGTCTCCCCTTGTACTGCACCATCCTGATCCCAGTATTGTGCCCTCCTGACTCCCCCTGTACTGTGCCCTCCTGATCCCAGTATTGTGCCCTCCTGTCTCCCCCTGTACTGTGCCCTCCTGATCCCAGTATTGTGCCCTCCTGACTCCCCCTGTATTGCGTTTTCCTGATCCAAGTATTGTGCCCTCCTGACCTGCCCTGTATTGTGCCCTACTGATCCCAGTATTGTGCCCTCCTGACTCCTCCTGTACTGTGTGTTCCTGATCCCAGTACCATGCCCTCCTGTCTCCCCCCTGTACTGTGCCCTCTTGATCACACAGTATTGTGCCCTCCTGTCTCCCCCCTGTACTGTGCCCTCCTGATCCCAGTATTGTGCCCTCCTGACTCCCCCTGTACTACGTGTTATTGATCCCAGTACTGTGCCCTCCTGTCTCCCCCTGTACTGTGCCCTCCTGATCCCAGTATTGTGCCCTCCTGACTCCCCCTGCATTGTGCCCTACTGATCCCAGTACTGTGCCCTCCTGACTCCCCCTGTACTGCGTGTTCCTGATCCCAGTATTGTGCCCTCCTGTCTCCCCCCTGTACTGTGCCCTCCTGATCCCAGTATTGTGCCCTCCTGACTCCCCTCTGTACTGTGCCCTCCTGACTCCCCCCTGTACTGTGCCCTCCTGACTCCCCCCTGTACTGTGCCCTCCTGATCCCAGTATTGTGCCCTCCTGACTCCCCCTGTACTGCGTGTTCCTGATACCAGTACTGTGCCCTCCTGTCTCCCCCTGTACTGTGCCCTCCTGATTCCAATACTGTGCCCTCCTAATCCCAGTATTGTGCCCTCCTGACTCCCCGTTTTGTGCTCTACTGATCCCAGTACTGTGCCCTCCTGACTCCCCTGTACTGTGTCCTCCTGATCCCAGTATTGTGCCCTCCTGACTCCCTGTGTATTGTGCCCTCCTGATTACAGTATTGTGCCCTCCTGTCTCCCCCCCCTGTACTGTGCCCTCCTGATCCCAGTATTGTGCCCTCCTGACTCCCCCTGTACTGTGCCCTCCTTACTCTCCCTGTACTGTGCCCTCCTGATCCCAGTATTGTGCCCTCCTGACTCCCCCTGTACTGTGCTCTCCTAATCCCAATATTGTGCCCTCCTGACTCCCCCTGTACTGTGCCCTCCTGATCCCAGTCTTGTGCCCTCCTGACTCCCCCTGTGCTGTGCTCTCCTGATCCCAGTATTGTGCCCTCCTGTACAGTGCTCTCCTGATCCCAGTATTGTGCCCTCCTGATTCCCCCTGTACTGTGCCCTCCTGATCCCAGTATTGTGCCCTCCTGATCCCAGTATTGTGCCCTCCTGACTCCCCCTGTGCTGTGCCCTTTTGCCCCCGCCCCCCATACTGTGCCCTCCTGATCCCAGGATTGTGCCCTCCTGACCCCACCTGTACTGTGCCTTCCTAATCCTAGTATTGTGCCCTCCTAATCCCAGGATTGTGCCCTCCTAACCCCCCATGCTGTGCCATTTGTGTTGATTAGTTTTTTCATTTATGGAATGTTTTCTTATTGCTTAAAAACAATTTTATTGAAAGTCCTAATAAATATATGTTTCATTCTTTCAACTATGTATTCTTGAATTCTTGAGGGTAGGCGTGTACATTGAGGCAGGCCGGTAGGAGCCCCAGGGCGTTACTTTTCCCAGGGACCCATGAGAATAATAAGACGGCCCTGGTCGTTAGCTAAGATGTTCCCTCTTGTGGATTCGACTACTATGCGAAGCCAAGTCCGACTTTCTTTTGAAACCTTTCTCACAATCTGTACAAGAGTATGGTAAGTCACCGGTGTGAATTTTTTGATGGGAAGTAAGATTTGATCTATCCGTGAAACATTTCCCACATGCAGAGCAGGAATAAGGCTTTTCGCCCGTGTGAAGTCTTTCGTGTGTGACGAGCGAGGATTTCCGAGAAAAACATTTCCCGCACATGGAGCAGAAAAACGGCTTAGTCCCCGTGTGGCCCGCCAGGTGTTTAGCGAGAGTTGATCTTGTGGTAAAGCATTTCCCACATTCCGAACAGGAAAACGGCTTCTCTCCCGTGTGATCTCTATGGTGGACCGTGAGCGAGTGTTTCGAAGAAAAGCAATGCCCACATTCTGGACACGAATATGGCTTCTCCCCGGTGTGAGTTCTCTGATGGGAGATAAGACGTTTCCTCTCGAAGAAACACTTTCCACACTCCAAACATGAAAAAGGCTTCTCTCCTGTGTGAGCCCTATAGTGTTTAATGAGCAGATGTTTAAAAGAGAAACACTTCTCACACTCCGAACACGAATATGGTTTCTCCCCCGTATGAGTCATCTGATGGTAGGCAAGACTTTTGCTCTGGGAAAAACACTTCCCACAATTAGAACAGGAATATGGCTTAACCCCGGTGTGAGTCCTCTGATGTACGATGAGGTTGGGTCTCCAGGTAAAACATTTCCCACATTCCGAACATGAAAACGGCTTCTTTCCCGTATGACTCATCTGATGCAAGACAAGATGGTCCCTCTGAGAGAAACATTTCCCGCACTCTGTACATGAAAAAGGCTCCCCCCTGTGTGACTTATCTGATGAGAGACAAGATGGTCCCTCTGGAAAAAACCTTTCCCGCACTCCGTACATGAAAATGGCTTCTCGGCCAAGTGAGTCCTCTGGTGTGAAAGCAGATGCTGTTTCTGAAAAAAACTCTTCCCACACTCCGAGCACGTATAAGGGTTTTCCCCGGTATGAACTTTTTCGTGTCTGATGAGATATGATTTAACGGGAAAACATTTACCGCATTCGGAACAGGAAAATGGCTTCTCCCCAGAGTGAATTCTTTGATGTGTTGTGAGATGCGATCTTTTTGCAAATGTTTTTCCGCATTCGGAACATAAATACGGCTTCATTCCTCTGTGAGTTCTCTGGTGTTCGAGAAGACCGGATCTCAAGCTGAAGCATTTACCGCATTCCGAACAGTGATGTGGCTTCTCCCCTACGTGCCCTCTTTGGGGTGAGATGGGGTCTGGTGGCTGAAGTGACCCACGATGACAGTAGAAACTGAACCCACGATCAATGGACTGATCCGAACGGCGAAATACAGGATGGAGCATTGGGGTGGTGGGATCATTGGATGGGATGTCATCTTCTGTTTCATCATCTGGAGAGATATCAGGGTGGTCTTCCATGTTGTAATTTCTATATCGCCCATCTGGAAGAAATGGGAAATTAAGATACATAGGATGGATAAAGCAGGACTCTGGAGAAAATATTAAAACAGGTTTGCCCACATGGAAGAAAAATATATTTGAAATACTACAATTTTGGCCATATTCAATATATTTTAAAATGCGCGCGTGTGTGTGTGTGTGTATATATATATATATATATATATATATACATATATATACTGTATATATACACACACACACTTGTGTTCAAAATAATAGCAGTCAGACATCACTAACCTGATCAATCACTGTTTTTGGTAGAAATGATATTTCTACATGGCAAATAATTTACTAGCAGGTGTAGTAGAGTAGTAGAAATCCAACAGACCAAACAGTCATGACATGCATGCTGCTGATTCTGTGTAATTGAATCACTAATTGAAAGGGGCATGTTCAAAATAATAGCAGTGTGGAGTTCTATTGGTGCCCTTATTTAAGGAAGGAAGGCAGCAAATGTTGTACATGCTGGTTACAGTGCATTTCTCTCATAAATTCTGAGGAAAATGGGTCGTTCCAGACATTGTTCAGAAGAACAGCGTACCTTGATTAAAAAGTTGATTGGAGAGGGGAAAACATATAAAGAAGTGCAGAAAATGATAGGCTGCTCAGCTAAAATGATCGCAAATGCTTTAAAATGGCAACCAAAACCTGAAAGACGTGGAAGGAAGAAAGTGAAAAAACTACCATTCGAATGGATAGAAGAATAGCCAAAATGGCAAGGACTCAGCCAACAATCAGCTCCAGGAAGATCAAAGAAGGTCTAAAGTTACCTGTGAGTACTAAACAATGGTTTGATGATAGAATCCCTCCTGCGCTGTAATGGACACCAAACCCTACCTATCAGCTGCTTACACTCAAACTGATACCCAAACAGTGCAGAAAATATATATAAATAATAGTGCAGCGCTAATAAACTAAATCACCATAAATTATAATTCATGGGCTAAACAAGCCAAACACACCTACATGTGAATAGTGACTGAAAGCATAAAAAATGAAATGTAAAAAATATGACATATCTTAAAAGTGACAAATTCATCTTCGTGCGCTACACACGTGCCAGCAAATAACTCAACAATATTAAAATAAAAGACATATATCATGTGATAGTGCCACTTCAAATCTCATAAATGAACACATAAATATATAAGTCCAGTATTTGAATAAGTGATAGGACATACACATGCAATGTGCAATTGGTGCTCAATTGTGTAAGTGCCAACACACTTTTCCACTCCAGCTGCAGTGCCTCCTCCCCTCCTTTCTGCGACCCCTAAGGGCCAGAAAGCCTTCAGGATCACCCTGGATCCTCAACAATCCCGTCTGGTAAATCTCCTTCCCAAGTAGTTCTCCTATTATGCCTCCTCCAAACTTTCTCCTCTGTGACCTTTAAGGTCCTCTAAGCAGATTTTCTGTGAAGTCTCACTCACATATTAGTGAGCAAAGAAAGAGATCCTCCATAGTGTAGTAAATCAAGCTTGCAGTTCATTTACTTATGAAAAGAAGTTACTCACATTACAATACAGCCTCTTCCTCTCCCCTGCATGGGTAAACTGCATTCATGTAGTACTTCCTGGGAGTTTTCAAGATGGCGTCCTGTACCAAAAGTGCGTCACTTCAAAAACCGGAAGCTGCGTATCGGCGTACCTACGCGTTACGTCACGTGGTCTCGTGACTTCTTATTAGCGCTGCACTATTATTTTATATATATTACCTGTGAGTACTGTTACAATTAGAAGATGCCTATGTGAAGCCAAGCTATCTGCAAGAAGCCCCCGCAAAGTCCCACTGTTGCAAAAAAAGACGTGCTGAAGAGGTTACAATTTGCCAAAGAGCACATTGACTGGCCTAAAGAGAAATGGCACAACATTTTGGGGACTGATGAAAGTAAGATTGTTCTTTTTGGGTCTAGTGGCCGGAGACAGTTTGTCAGACGACCCCCAAACACTGAATTCAAGCAACAGTACACTGTGAAGACAGTGAAGCATGGTTGCGCAAGCATCATGATATGGGGATGTTTCTCATACTACGGTGTTGGGCCTATTTATCGCATACCAGGGATCATGGATCAGTTTGAATACATCAGAATACTTGAAGAGGTCATGCTGCCTTATGCTGAAGAGGAAATGCCCTTGAAATGGGTGTTCCAACAAGACAACGACCCCAAACACACCAGTAAACGTGCAACATCTTGGTTCCAGACCAACAAGATTGACGTTATGGAGTGGCCAGCCCAATCCCCGGATCTTAATCCAATAGAAAACTTGTGGGGTGACATCAAAAATGCAGTTTCTGAGGCAAAACCAAGAAATAGAGAAGAACTGTGGAATGTAGTCCAATCAACCTGGGCTGGAATACCTGTTCACAGGTGCCAGAAGTTGGTTGACTCCATGCAACACAGATGTACAGCAGTTCTCAGAAACAGTGCTTATACAACTAAATATTAATTAAGTGATTCAAAGGAAAGCAAAATCTTCAAACATTTTTCAGTTTATATACTGAATGTTTGAGTTTGTAAAGAAGAATACAAACACTGCTGTTTTTTTGAACAGTCTAATATTCACTTTTCAGCAATTTTTTGGGGGTCTAGTGGCCAGAGACAACACAAATTTGATATATTCAGGGGGAATTTGTGTTAGGAGGTTGAATTTGGGGGGGTTTGTTTAAGAGGGGGGATGGATTTGAGCTAGGAAAGGGGATGGGGGGTTGCATGTGCTAGGAGGGGGTATGATTTTGTGTTAGAAGAGATATGGGTGGTTGTTGTGTTTGGAGGGGAGATTGGGGGGAACTTAAGCTAGAAGAGGGGATGGAGGGGGTTGTGCTAAGAGGGAGGATTGGGGGGGGGGGGTTGCTAGTAGAGGGGGATTGGTGAGGAACCTATACTAAGAGAGGGGGGGATTTATGCTAAGAGATGGGGATGGGGGGGGGGGGGGTTGTGTTAGGTGGAGACATTGGGGGGAAAATTGTGCTAAGAGGAGGAATTGGGAGGGGTTGTGCTAGGGGGAGGGATTTGGGTGGGGAGGAAGGATTTGTGTTGGGAAAGGTCATTTGGAGGGAGTTGTGCTAGGAGGAGGGATTTGGGTGGGGAGGAAGGATTTGTGCTGGGAAGGGTCATTTGGAGGGAGTTGTGCTAGGAGGAGGGATTTGGGTAGGGAGGAAGGATTTGTACTGGGAAGGGTCATTTGGAGGGAGTTGTGCTAGGAGGAGGGATTTAGGTGGATTTTTGCTAGGAAGCGGGATGGGGGAAATTTATGCTAGGAGGGGGGATTTGGGAGAGAGGATCTGTGCTAGGGTGGAAAATCTGATGGGAAAGAGGAGGGGTGAAGCAGAACTACAGGTGCAAGTAGATGGCCTTGCCTATGGCACAAAATAGCCTAGCACCGGCCCTGCCCTCAACAAATCAAATCCAACTTTTGACTAGAAGCCCAGATCACTAGGCTGAAGCTGTCTTAGACTGGACATGTTATGAGAGGGCCAAATCACTGGAAAAGACAATTATGTTTGGAAAAGGTAAAAGGTAAAATAGATGAGGATGACCAACCAATGTTATAAACATGCCCCTTTGAAGACTTAAGACCCAAAGAGAAGAGAGATCATTCTGGAGAAACACTATCCATGCACTTGGCAGAAGTCAACATCGTCTTGACGTCACCTAATATACAACCCACCTATGCCGATCTCTTTAATCTTCACATGTGCTTCTTCCTTCTTGTTAGCTTTGATGTCTTTTTTAGTGGCTCTGCTGTCTTCAGGGTCTATGGATAAAAATATATTGAAGCCCCCTATACTGAGATATATGAGAGATCCCAGAGAGTGTGCATGGAGGGGGGGGGGGGGACTGGTCACATTTTATCTTGGTGGTAACACACAATAATAGCAGTTGAGGTGGAGAGTCTAAGGGAGCTTGATAACTCCCGGTTCCCCCACTGGTTATATACCATGGAATCCACAAGGCTTCCTATACCTCTATAATGGTGTGAGTTTCATGCGCCATATTAACAAACCAATTAGACCCCTTTTGGTGAGCAAGGGGTTGGGTCGACAAGCTGTATGCTTTGAAGCAGCGCAGAGATCGGAGCAGATCGCTCCTAATTACCAAAGAGGCTTGCACCCATTTGGTAGGTAAGCTCAGGGTCTTCTCCATTCCTCTCCCCCCCATACTGTTTACCAATTATTGTCTACTGACAGAGGAGAAAGGTGAAGAACAAGGGAAAATTGAAACTCTTTTCTAGATTCAGTGTTTACTACTCACCTGTGCTGATCTCTGGAGGAACGTCCTCCTCCTCGTGCACTTTATCACCCCCCACATTTGTCCCAATTTCATCCATGTCTTCTGTTCTACATTTGCTAAGATGTTTCTCCTACAAAATATAAGAACGATTGTCAAATTTCTTGGACACAAGAATTTGATGACACACAGTAAACGCCATCTACCTGATCTTTCTGAAGGATCTTCTGATGTTCCTGTATGGAATTCCGAGAATGCACAGGATGGGGATTTCTCTCAGGTGTATTTCTCTTACTGTATCCTCCTATAGGATGCACCCATATTTAATGAGTATTGTTGTTTGAACACAGACAATAAATACAATTCTGTATTAGTCTGCTCCTCACCAGTGCTGATCTCTACAGGAATTTCCTCCTCTTTAACCTTCACGCGTTTTATTTCTTGCTGGTCGGGTTTAACATTACTCTGTGGAGTTCTAAATTTTTCGGGTTCTGAAAACAAAGAAAAGCTTCTTACTGAGAAGCGTGGAAGTGTAATAGAGTTTGATCGCTCCCGATACTCTGCAAATTTGGGAGAATTAACAAACAGCAGTACAGGCTTTATGCCTACACCACTCTTCTAAGCTGAGAAAATGGAGCGGATCTTGCTCTTAATT